GTGGAGGGGGTGAAGGGAGGGCAAGGGAAGGGGAAAAAAATAAGAACCAAGATACTCATGTAAAAGTACAAGATCCCAATGATGAATGTAACTGTATTTTATACCTAAGATGTACCAATAAACTTAATGGGAAGAAAAAAAAAAAATCGAGGGCAAGAGATGTAGCTCAGTGGTAGAGCACTTGCTTAGCATATATGAGTCCCAAAAAATTTATGGGAGAGGTCTAATTCATTTCTTATAAAGATTAAAAGAAATAATGTATATGATGCACATAGTACTTGGAATAGACTCAATGAACTGCAGCTATTATTTGAAGCTGTGAATTCAAGGTCATTAGAAAATTTTTCTCACTCTTAACTTTTCTTTTTTGAGACAGGGTCTTGCTATGCAGTTCAAGCTGGGCTTGAACTCACTGCAATCCTCTTGTTTCAGCCTCCTGAGTGCTAACACCCAGCGACTTTTCAAAGTAAGGTATGTGTAATAATACACTAACAGTAGTACGTATTTTTCCCAAGCTACAACACTCTTATAATAGAAGGATGGGAGTTGAAGGTGTAGCTTAATGGCTGAGCACTTGGCTAGCAGGCATGAGGCCCTTGGTCTGACTCCCAGTGCCACAGTAACAAAAAACCAAACCAAAACACCTATACATCTAGAATAAACTGCTGTATATCACAGGATCTGTGTCTGGGTTCAATTCCCAGTAATGGAAGGAAAAAGAAATAAAAAAGAAGACAGATTCTATGACTAAGAGGACCAGTATGTGCAAGGTCATGGGTTCTATCCCCAGCAACAGGGAGCGGGGAAAAAGGAACTTCTACAGCAGTACTATTTGTAATAGCTTCAAAATTTTGCAAACAACTCAAATGTATATCAATACCAGAATGGATACACTATACTGTATTCATACAATAAAACACCATAGTAATGAGAAGGAACTAGGGCCGGGGATTTAGCTCAGTGGATTTGCTGCCTGCTACGTAAGCACAAGGACCCGAGTTCAATCCCCGGTACCAAAAAAAAAAAAAAGAAAGAACTAACCACTGCCGTACTTATTATTACAGATAAGAATGAAAGCAGACAGGCATACTGTCTGAGTCCACTTACATAAAGATCAAAACAGTCAAAACTTTTCTATGGTAGGATAGTCAGGACAGTGATTAGCTTTAGGGGCATGGTTGAAGGCAATAAAGGGGGGATAGAGAGAGAAGAAAAGAATGCTGTTAATTCTCTTTTTCTTGAACCAGGTGCTATTCAAATACGTATATTTGCTTTGTGGAAAATTCTTCAAATTTTAAGATTATTATTTGTGTACTTTTCTATATATACTTTATTAGTTTAATTTTATTTTATTTTATTTTTTTCGTAATGGGGATCAAACTCGGGACCCTGTGCTTGTGATGCAGGTGCCGGAACCACTGAGCTAAATCCCTGGCTCTATTAGTTCAATTTTAAAAAACACCTAAAAAGCACTTTTGTACAGTTAACCAGTTGTATTTATATTGGATCTCTCATCACAATAATTAGTTTTAGGTTTGTTTATATTTCAGGAAACAATAGCTGAATTACTTCAGAGATGTGAAAATATGGAGAAGAGGAACACAAACAATGTCCGTTACAAAAAAATTCTTAGCCAGGTGTGGTGGCACACACCTATAACCCCAGCATTTGGAAGGCTGAGGCAGGAGGAATGTCATGAGTTTAAGGCCAGCATGGGCTGCACAACAAGCAATTAACTCATGGCTGAACAAAGCCTACCTAACATTCATATTTTCTCTGTAAAGCACATAACAGATTTCTTCTATTTACAAACCATATGCTACACTTCAGTCTTATGTTTTGGTACCATTTTAAAGAGCAGAATGACCAACATAAAACACAAAACTGGAAAAAATCGGGCTAGGGATTTAGCTCAGTGGTTGTGGCACCTGCCAGGCAAGTGCAAGCACAAGGTCCCGAGTTCGATCTCCGGTCCCACGAAAAAAAAACAAACCTGGAAAAAATCATGGCACCAAGCAGCTTATGAAAAGAATACTTAAAAAAAAAAAAAAAAGAATACTTGATTACAGTATGAGAGGCTGAAACAAGAAGGCAGAGCTGTCATCACCTCAACTGAAAATATGCATATCTGGTGACTCAAATTTGTTGTACACTGACCATGTCCTTTGAATGACCAAAGTACTCAAGTGGTGATTTGGGAGTTACAAATTAAGTACTGTACTAGCAAGTAGGCAAAATGGCTGATATGGAACCTATACTATAGACAATGAAAATAAACTATAGAAGAGGTAACTGTACAAGAGATCCTTTTCATCCCTTTCCTATAGTTACTATTCAGGTTTCTTTTATACTTCCAGAGATTTAAAAAATATACAGGTAAACAAAGACAAATGTTAAGTTCTTTTCTCTCCTATTTTGGATACTTTGTCCCATACTGACATTTTTCACTTGACAATATATCTTGATCTTTTCATATCAATAAGTTAGTTTCCTCTTTGAAAGTTGTTGTTATATGGGCACTGTGGTGCACACCTGAAACCCCAGCTCCTCAGGAGACTGAAGTGGTAGGATTGTAAGTTCCAGGGCAGCCTCGGTAACTCAGCAAGACCCAAGTGGAGTCAAGACCCAAGTGGGAGTAGAGTATCTCAATGGTAGAGCACTATACTGGCATGCTAAAAGCCTTAGGTTCCATCCCCAGTACTGACAAATGAAACAAAAACTAATCCTTTTTTTCTTTTTGCCCAGCAAAAAATATTCATTGGTGGTATTGAAAACTTACATCAATCTCCATGTGCCGAAACCTGCACACCTGTCGAAAACAGCGTCCTTCTTGCCACAATGTGCAAACAGTTTCATTTCCTAGTGCAGCTTCACAGTGACGGAATGGGCAGCTGTCACCCTGTTGAAAAAGAGAACAGAGAAAAGAAATGTAGCCAGGTATGGTGGCACACACCTGTAATCCCAGCACTTGGAAGGCAGAGGCAGGAGGATCACTGCAAGTTTGAGGCTACCCTGGGCTACATAGTGAGTTCAGGGCCAGCCTGAACTACAAAGCAAGACCCTGTCTCAAAAAGCCAAAAAACCAGGGACAGGGATTTAGCTCAGTGGTTCTGCCGCCTGCCTCACAAGTGCAAGGTCCCAAGTTCAATCCCTGGCACCAAAAAAAAAAAAAAAAAGGAAAAGAAACATAGCACTGAAATATATCCTACGTACAATGTCCATAACAAGAATTTCCTGGAATGTAAACAAATACAAATTAGTAAAAAAAAGACAAGAAAAAGAGACAGGATAACAAGAATAATCGGAGGCCAACAAATTTATTATTTCCTATAACCTATTTTTAAAATTTTATTGGTACATCTTAGGTATACAATATGACACTCATCATTGGAAATTTGTACCTCCTATAACCTATTTCTTTTTCTGGTACCAGGGATTGAACTCAGGACCTTGAGCTTGCAAGGCAGGCGCTGGAACCACTGAGCTAAATCCCCGGCCCTATAACCTATTTCTTGACAGTAACCTTTATCTGATCTGTCAACATGAACAACCCATGCTAAGAGATGGGGTTGAAGGACAAGTAGGAATGTTAGGTACTCTCCAAAAGAATACATTAAAACTGTTTCATATATCCTACCTTGGGTAACTCTGGGTTTTGGACAGAAAATCAGAAAGAAACAGACAAGAATTTAAGTATAATTAATGTATAGCAGTTATGCTTCTTTGTATACTTTATCTGGAAACACTATTGTGAAAACTGGTATGTAAGATAGATTACTTTTTTTTGACAAAGAGTCTTGCTTTGTAGTGCAGGCTGGCCTTTTCACTTTTTGTAGAATATGGGAAAATTATAATTACATATAAAATGAAGAGAAAAAAATAAACAGGGCTGGGGATTTAGCTCAGTAGTTCTGCCACCTGCCTCGCAAGCGCAGGATCCCAAGTTTGATCCCTGGTACCCCCCCAAAAAAAAAGAAAAAGAAAAGGAAAAAAATGAACAATGAACTCTGTTATTTTTTACAAAAAAAAAACACCTGACAGCAGATAATAAACAGTTAAACAAAACAAAACATAAAAACAATTACAGACATAAGGACCACCCCCCCGCCCAGTTTTATTAAAGAAACAATAGAAAGATGTGATTTGGAGATAGAGATTCTTACTTTGGTACATGTAGAATAGAAAAAAAAATAGCAGTCTTCTCCTTGATTAGACATGCTGAGTGAATTCACGGATCCCAGGTGGCTTCCTGAAATAAGCCACTGCTTCCTCGAAGTGAGGACCAGCTCCAAGTCCTCTTGAAATGGGTTGAATCTTCCAATCTTCCAAATGACAACTCAAGCACAGAAATCGTCTTTAAAATGTAATCCTAAAATGAGGAAATACGTTAAAGTATTTCAGGTAAATTCTTCCAATAACATGCACTTGCCCTTACACAACCCCATAAACACACTGATCATACACTCCTGTCTACAATGTAAGTTTTTTGTTAAGGACAACTGTGGCCTTTTTTTTTTTTTTTTTGCATTCTCTCTGGTGTCTGATAAACTGCTTCAGCATAAAATTTAAATAAGTACTGTTAAATAAACACATGATCTACATTTTAGATTAATGGGACCTGGATTATTTTACACAAAATAACTTGCTAAATCTACATTTCTGACAAACTAGGTCTTTTTACCTGAGTGAAAAAGTCCAAACATCTTTGTAAACATTTGTGTTATTTCTGCCTAGTATATAATTATAACTAGGCAGAAAAATCTTACTTGGCTAGAATAACTTGTGAAACTACCTTTGAAAACATCTCTGGAGCTAGCTTATATATTGAAGTTGGCTAAAAAAATTGCACAATTATAAATAAGCAAGAGAAAAATCTTCAGGGCTATTCTCATAAAATAGTGATTGAACAAATCAACAGTTTATCTCCTAGTTCCTGCCATACCGCAGGTCCCTATACTAGAGTATCCAAAAAAGCCTCTATAAAAGCAAAATACATAGTAAGAGCACATAAGAGACTACAGAAGGGCCAGGCATGTAGCTCAGTGGTGCCATGCTTGCCTGGCAAGCGCAAGGTCCTGAGTTCGATTCCTGGTATGGGGTTGGGGAGAGAGACTATGGAAGGAGTTTGTACAAGCTTATACTCCAGTGGACTAGATTTCATAAACACTAATCTACCACTTGACAACAAACTAAATTCAAGCTTATCTATTTTCCACTATTAAGTCCTAATCAAAAATAATATGCCATGATGAAAACATGCCCTCAAGTTAACAACCTAGGTTAGAAGAGTCTGCAACTAACCAAATACCAAAATCTTGAAAATCTATCTACTCTTTGATCCAATGAGTCCAGTTTTTACAATGTCCTAAAGAAAAAATATTCAACAAATACACAAAGTAATAATGCACAAGAAAGTTCATCATTATCTTGTTTCCGGTTTTTTTTTTGGTACTGGGGATCGAACTCGGGACCTTGCGCTTTTGGGGCAGGCGGCGGAACCACTGAGTTAAATCCCCGACCCCTCACTATCTTGTTTCTAATAAGGAAATAACACCCAGAAACTTAAATGTCTAAAAATTAGAGACTGTTTTTAAAAAACTTATGATACGGCTATATAATATGACAATACTTAGCTATAAAGTTTGGTACCCAAAAGTGAATGCTGGTGTAAACACACAAAACAACAACAACAAAATCAAAATTTTAAAAATAAGTATGGATATAGCTTTAGAATAGGGTCATGAAGGAGGCTGGAAGAGTTCAAGGTATTTGATATCAAACCCTACAAGACACTGCTGCTTGGGCTGGGGATTCAGCTCAGTGGTTTCGCCGCCTGCTGCACAAGCGCAAGGACTCAAGTTCAATCCCCGGTACCCAAAAAAAAAAAAAAAGATATTGTTGCTAGACATAATAATGTTAAAGGTGCTTCTGGTGAAATCTTGTCGAAAATGTTACTGGAAACTTGAGTAAAGATGATTCTTGTTATGAAGTAGCAGGGAACTTAGTGGAGCTGTGCTCTGTTGGGTGGAAGGCAGAATTTGTAAGCAAAAACATGGATATTTACCTGGGCGATTTCTTTTTTTTGGTACCTGGGATTGAACTCAGGACCTTGCGCTTGCGAGGCAGATGGCGACACCACTGAGCTAAATCCCCAGCCCAACCTGGGAGATTTCTAAGCAAAAGGTGCAACAGCTGGTTTCTCTTTGCTGTTTAAAGTAATGTGTTAAAAGGAAAGATAACAGGCATCCATCACAATGCAGGCTCAAAGAATAATTTAAAAACTGCCCCAGGAGGGTGTGCTGACACACACTTATAATTCCAGGAGTTCAGGAGGCTGAGGCAAGAAGGCTAGGCAATTTAGTGAGACCTTATCTAAAAGTAAAAAAAATTTAACAAGGGCTGCTGATGTAGCTCAGTGCAAGGGCCTGGGTACAGTACCATAAAACAAGTAATTTTTTAAAAAACTGCTTGAAATGGGAGTCAAGTTTCTTTTTTGGGATATTCAAATAATTATAATGACACATACACAAAACAGAAAAATATTAAGCTGAGGAAAATGACAAAGTTTAATAGAAAAAAAATTTTACAATGGAGAATAGGGGCTTAGTATCTGAAATTAGAATCTCAAAAAATATACATTAAACTAGTTTTAGGAAAACAGCCCACAAACTAATCAAACAATAAAATGGCAGCCATGATATGGCAACAAAATAGTATGAAGTAAAAAGGATCAAGATACATATTCCCAGCGATGAATGCATTATGTATAGCAAACATATATTAATAAATTTTTAAAAAACAGCATGAATCAGAATTTTGGGGCAATTATGTCCCAATTAACTCTGTAAAGCTCCCTCAAAGTTAAGCAGAGTATAGGAGGCATCTCTTTAGAAATGTTTCAGCAGAAAAAGATCTTTATATATCTGTTTTACACTATGGGCTTCTGTAATTTTCACTAGGAAAAAAAAGAAAGAAAATGGCTGCTAGGTGCAGTGGCACATGCCTATAATCTCAGCTACACTGGAAATTGAAGCAGAAGAATCCCAGTTCAAGGCCAGTCTGGGCAACCAACTGAGACTCTCTCAAAATCAAAGAAAAATGGCTGGGGATGTAGCTCAGTGATAGACCACTTGCCTAGCATCACAAGGCCCTGAATTCAATCCTCAGTATCACCAAAACAAAGAAACAACCTACAAGTTAAATTTAAGATGCACAATAATACTATTGCGAGCAAAAACCCAAAATCAAAATGCACACTGACAAATTTTTTTAATTTTCAAAGGAAAAAACAAAATTTAGGATGCCAAGAAAAACCTGGTTAGCTTTCAGAAGTAAATGGCTGTTTCAAAGTAGACAATTAAAATGAATAACTGACCCTCTATCGAGCTACCCAAATTAATACCAAAAAAAGGAGAAATCTTTTAACATCTATGCTCTCAGCAAATTTTTAAGGATATAGCAACAATACAAACTAATACATTACTATGAAAATAAGTGGAAAGAAGAGAAATCTTGAACTGTAAGAAAACCCAAATATCTAGCCTCTTCCCTTAATAAGGGATTTAATAAAGGGAACAAATAGGAGTATAAACATCAATGAAAAACACAACTGGATTATAAGAGACCACTGGCAAGAAACTCTCAGTATACAAACCAAAAAGTGCAGGGCCAGAGATGTAGCTCAGTGGTTCTGCATCAGTCTGGCAAGCACAAGGTCCTGAGTTCGATCCCAGGTATGGAACACACACACACACACACACACACACACACACACACACACACACACACACACACACGACGGGGATGGATGACCAAAAAATCTATGTCACAATGAGAGAAAAGACACGTGACATGGAAACAGTCCCCAAAAATAAAATTTCTAGTTGATAGAAATTCTGAAAAGGAACAGAATAGAGATAAGAAAAACAATACCAGAAAATTTCTCTACATTGAATGGACTTGAGTCTTTAAAAAAGCTCATCAAATGCCTGACAGAACTTTGTTTTAAAGACATCCCTAGTACACATAGCTATGGTAAAATTTCTGAATTCCAATGTAAAGACAGAATCATATCAACTTAGAGGAAAGAGCAGACTGATACATTATTATACTTCTCATCTGAAACTCTAAATATCAAAATATAGCCTTTCAAGCTGTATTTCAGACAGCTCAAAATCTGGAAGATTTTAGACTTAAAAGCCCAAGTAAGGCATTAGCTAATGAAACAAGATGTATACTAAAAGTAATATTACATGATCAAAAATCGTGACCATCTAAGCAAGATTTCAAAAAGGAAAAAAGGGGGTGGGGAGATGTAGCTCAGTGGCACTGTGCCTTCTTGGCAACCGCAAGGTCCTGAGTTCAATGGGGGGGGGGGTTAAGTATAATGCTCAAGAATAAAAAAGCAAGCTCAAATACGACATCTACTCTTTTAAAAGGGCCAGGGGTAGTGTTGCACACTTGTAATCCCAGCTACCCAAGAGGACTGCCAGCTCAGGAGAAGCACAAGTGTCAAGGCTAGCTTGGAGGCCTTAGCAAGACATACCAAAATAAAAAGACGAAAGGAGTATATCAGGTAGGGATATAGCTCAGTGGCAGAATGGCTGTCTATCAGGCACGAAGCCCTGGGTTCAATTCCCAGCACTGCAAAAAAGAAAGAAGAAGAACTCAGTAAATCATAAGGAACTTCCTAAACATCAGAAACCCTAAGTACTGAAGCATGGTACAACACTAGAGGTCAGCTCACTTAAGATAAATGAAGGACTCTAAGTTCCTACTATCCTTCAACAGAGTCCCAGAGTCTAGTATATACAGTAAGAAAACAAGGCATTAACCAAAGAAAGGATGAGACAAAAATATCTAGCTGAAAGTTATATGTTTGAAAATTAGCAAATCTCAACAGGCAAAAAAAATTACTAAAAATAGTAACAATGTAAGCTAGATATACAAATACAAAGTCAATAATTTTGCTCTATGCCAGAAATAATCATTCAGATAAGAGTCCCATTCATAATAAAATTATATGTATGAAGAAAATAAAGAAGTTATGCAAGAGCCATATTACATTAAAAGCAAAACAAAAAAACAGATACAACTAAGGCATAGAAGACCCGGATAATGGATAAATGGAGGATAAGCAAGTTACTTCTCCCAGGAATAACGCATACATTTAATGCAATTCAAGTCAAACTCCCAGTGAGACTGGTCATTCGAGAGATGCAAATTAAGACAACACTGAGATTCCATCTCACTCCAGAAAGAATGGCTGCTTATCAAGAAATCAACCAATAACAAATGCTGGAGGGGCCGTGGGGAGAAAGGACCCCTTTTCCACTGCTGGTGGGAGTGTGGACTGGTGCAACCACCATGGAAATCAGTGTGGAGATTTGTCAAAAAACTAAAATTAGGGCCGGGGATTTAGCTCAGTGGTTTTGCCGCCTGCTGCGCAAGCGCAAGGACCCGAGTTTGATCCCCAGTACCAAAAAAACCCCAAAATACAAAAAAACAAAAAACACTAAAATTAGAGGTTCCATTTTACCCAGCTATACCTCTTCTTGCTATCTTCCCGAAAAAATTAAAAGCATCACACCACAGCAATATATGCACATCCATGTTTATAGCAGTTTGTAATAGCTAAATCTTGGGAACAGCCCAAATGCCCATCAACTGACAAGTGGCTAAAGATGTCTCGTATATATATACTGGAGTGCTACTCTGCCATAGAGAAGGATGAGGTTCAGGCATTTATAGCAAAATGGATGGACCTTGAGACCATACTCTTAAGTGAAATAAATTGGACACACGCGTAAATACCGCATCGTTTCTCTGGCATGAGAGACTAAATGTGGAAATAAGGACTGAGACGTATAATGGCTGTTGGAAAATGAAAACAAAGTGTTCAAATGGGAAGGGGAACAAGGAAGGGAGAGAAAAAGGAAGGAAGGGACAAGAAAAAAAGTGAAGATAGAAGGAAAAAATGGAAGAAAAAAAATCCCAGTGAGAGTTTATTACTAGGACTTGACAGACTGTAAAATCATTTAGTAAAATAAGTGTTTGAAAAAAATAAAAATACTCTAAAAAGGAATGGAAGGGCCGGGGATTTAGCTCAGTGGTTCTGTCACTTGCCTGGCAAGCGCAAGGAGCCGAGTTTGATCCCTGGTACCAAAAAAAAAGGAATAGAAGAGCCTTGCTCTACCTGATATTATAGATGGTAAGTCTAACAATGTTTAAGTGTAATACTAGCATATGAACTAGTACATGGGTCAGCAGAACTCAAGGGGACTCATAAGTAAATCTGATTTATGAAAAAAAGTGGCATTTGAAATTAACAAAAATGGCCAGCTATTTATAAAAAAAGTTCCAACTTCCTTTGCAAAAGTTCCAAGGGAATAAAAGCAGAGATTGCAAAACAGTTCTAGCTCACTAATTAGAACACTATAATAAGATTCTGAATTCCTTAACTCTGCGATGCAAAAAGACAAGCCATATCATAAAAATGGTATTTTTATAAGCTCTGAATAAAAAACTTTTTCTATGATAGCAAAGTTAAAACCATAACAAAACTGATAAAAATGAAAAAGATTGATCAGCACATAGCCAAAGATTAGTATCTTTACTAAAAAAGGACAAATCAAGAGCATCTGCAAATCAAGAAGACTCCATTCGTTCTGTAAATTGTTATGACCTCCTTAGAGCATACTATTAAAAACTCTACAAATTTGCAGCCAAAAACTGAAAATAGTTTACATAGGTATGTGCATAAGGCTATCACTGCATGGAGGGTAGTTTTGCTTGTAATGGCAAAAACGCAAATGTCTATCAATGAGTGATTCGTTAAATCCTGGCATACTCATACAAGGAAACCCTACATAGTCATTAGAAAGACTAGGAAAAGACATGTGCACAGACAACTATGTTGTGATAAACTATAAACAGCACTATTCTCCAAGGACATGGAATTATAAGATAATTTCAACTTGGTTATATTATTTTTACTTTGTGTATGATTATCCAAAGAAAGACATAAGAAAAAACGATGCCTCCAACCAAAAACTAAAAGCTTGTAAACTATTATAAGCATAAAACCCTGGACAATGGACTTTCAATTTCTTACTAGTATGGAAAATTATGCCTTAAATTACAAAAAAAGTTTACTCCTTTCACAAGAGAAGGCCCATTTCTGTACTTACATTAGCTGGTTGTTCTCGACAGGAACGTCTGTGTCTTCACTGAGTTCCAATCTATTACGCCTGTAGGTCGAACCAACACTCAATCCATGAATTAATAATAATGAGGCAGAAAGAATTTTCTTCCTCACATTGCCAAGGAAATCTCTCAGCCACAATTGAAACACAGGATGTGTTTTTAAACATCTCCCAACTACTGGAAGATTAAGTCCATTCGAATAACCTTTGTCAGACTGGAGACATTAGTTATCTCCTCAAAAACAAAAGCCAAAAAAGTTCATTTAAAGATGAACTTGAGATTCAAAGAATCATTAAAAAAAAAATCCATCTTCCATAGCTGAACAATATAATTTAAAAAGAAAAAAGAAAAAAGAAAAAAAAAACACCAAAATTCAATAAGATCCAATTTCTGGTCTTCAAGATTTCTTCACCTATTAAGAAAAAAACAGAAACCTTCCCCCATCTTTATTATGTGTATAATAAAAGCATACTTGTATGCAAAAATATAAAGTGTTTTATGTATATAATATACATATATACTAACTGGCTTATACACACACGCACACGCACACACAAATGTGTAGAAATAAAACATCTGGGTAAGTTTCCCCTTTTAAAATACACTATAAAAGTCTTTAAATTTGGGTTCATTACTAAAATAGTGAACTTATTTTTATACCAGAGAACTGTGAAGTTGATGTTACATTACAATTTGCCCAGCCCACAAAACAACATGAAGGAAAATCCCTTACACATATATCAATGTGCATAATATGGATGTATGTATAGCAGCATTATCAGGGAGTGTTTAACCAAAAAAGATAGAAATGTATAGTTACAGAGTAACTACAGAGTGGTGCAGCAAGCTGTAGAAGGCAGAGCAACATTATAGCCATTCTGAACTGGTACTGTCAAAACAGAAAGCTTCTAAGGGAAGTTTTCCCTTCTTCTCTTATATCAACAGTATTACTGGCATGGCATTAATACTGGCCCTGCAAAGGCTTGCTTATACAGCCTATATCCAAATTCTTTACTACTGATAGTGATAGCTAAAGACTGTAATTACCCATGTACTCCAGTTAATAAAAAGGTAAACTTTCGGAGCTGAAATTTCATTTCACAATGGTACATTTACTGTTTAAGAATTTAAAAAAAGAAAAAAAAAGTATTTTGATACACAGAAACAAGTTTTCTAAATTTTTGAAGACAGGCCAGTAACAAAGCAAATTTGATTCTCATGTAATAAATACTACATAATTTCTAGGCTAAATCTTCCCAAATACTATCGAAGACACATCTAAAACCAAAACTTAAAAAAAGTGGACACCTTTTACTCACACTTAATACTAGTCAATTTTCCAGGAATTTTTTGGGCAGGGAATATCCCCAAATCTAAAATGAAAAAAAGGAAAAATTGGGATCTTACATTAGTTATTCAGTCTGAAACCTTAAATAGTTGTTTACTAAAAGTCTTCATTTTCTGGCCTATTCAAAGAAACATACTTTCAGAGTGGAAAGGTATAAGGATTATTGAGATCTGTTCACTCATTTCACCAATGATTCCTAACACATGAAAATACTGACTGCTTACTTTTAGTTAAAAATACAGTGGCTAGAAAAACTTCACAGTTCAGAATACAATACTATGGATCATTAAGTAGGCTTTTTAAATTAGAAAAATATTCTTTGGGAAATGCACACTGGGTTTCTCAAAGCATACTCATACAGGGTTTGTGATTCAATTCCCACTGAATCTTTTCCAATTTTGCAAACTTTTTATTATGTTAACCATAAATTATGCAAAAGCACCTATAGTTTTGTTTTTATATCACAAAGGTTAAAAAATGCAATTCAGAGACGTTTTTTCCTAATTGTTTTCTAATATTCCCCTTTTATAAAGATCTAATCCTAAATATAAAGTTAACTCTATCACACCCAGTAATTTGAAATTATAAAGCTGACCAGTATGAGGAGGTGAACAGAAATTTCCAAATACAGTACCAAAAACAATTTTGTGGGTTTTCTTCTTGCAAAGCTATAGACAAGCATCAGGGTTTTTAAAGAAACAGAAAAATGGAGAGGGGGAAGGAATACCAAATTGGTATTTTTTTTCCTCAATTTATAGGTTTCAGAGTTATCAAAGCTTCCGTGTTGGGGGAAATTCTGACATCAGTTACTACTAGTTCAATCTACCAGCCAAAAATAGCTGAAGGCCTTTCAATGCTGCACCGTATTTTTTAAATTAAAATGTCTTTTCTTTCTCAACTGATGTAAACATGTTCAAAATTTTCAAGTGTAACACTGAATTACAACTGTAAAATCATTAAAGTAAACTTTCATTTTATCAATAGTATATTGCTTCTGAGGAATTTTCAGCCCTTGTTTTTAGGTTTCCCCAGATTTGGTTTTGTTTTGATACAAATTATCGCTATATTGACCAGGCTGGTCTCAAACTTTAGGGCTCAAGCAATCCTCCTGCCTCAGCCTCCCAAATGGCTGGGACTACAGGTATGCACCATCAGGCCCACTTTTTTTTTAATTAGTATGATTACATATAATGACTATACCAATAAGGATACAATAACAGCAAAAAGTTTCTCACTTTAAATAGAGAAAAGAAAAAGAAGTTAAGGTAATATTTCTTTTTCACTGCTTTGAACAACCTTATTTTCAGGATCCCAACTCAGAACCAATGTAGAATAATCATAGTTAACATTTTTCAAGTTCATTTTCAGAAACATCAATTGTTCTATATTGTCAAAGTTCAGGCTTGTGATCTGCTTTGGATGAAAGTGGCTATCTGTAGTAAAGATACATTCAGATTGCCAACTACACATGGGGCAACTTAGATACTGAACGGCAACTTGGGTCAAAGCTGGCCATATGCTCACCTTCCTCTGCCAGTAAATCAAAGGGTCATTACCTCCTGAGAGCTCTGAATATTTCTCTCTGAAGTACTCATCCACTACTGCTATAGCAGAAGGGAACATGAAGCTTTTGCTTCCAGAGATAACACTGTCTGCAGCTGAGCTATCCATGGAACCTGAATTGGAGGTGCCTTCTTCTATAGATGAGGTAAATGAATAGGTTCCTACTGTAACTGAGGAACCAGAGGCTTCTGTAGTTGCAGTGTGGCAGGCCTCTGGGGAAGATTCCATGTAACTACAAACCTCTTCTGCAAGGATCTGCTTATAAGTTTCTAAATCCGCACCATGAGGAAAAAAATCTTCCAAGCTGTTCTTAAAGCATGGATCTAACAATGTAGCCAAAATACAGGGCTTAGACTTGAGCATGGCACTTAGTAGGGTATCAGTTTCAAGTTTCAGAGATAAACTGTCCACCAGATTGAGAGCTTGAGTAATACCTCTGACTTGAAAATTTTCTCTGAGTTTCTGAAGGGAAAGGAGTAGATGATGGATTAGGGGTAGCACCTGATTCAATCCTGTGGTCTTTACACTTACTTTCTGGGTGGCCTCCTCAAATGGCTTAAGAATATCACAAACATATGTCATGAGAGTCCACTGAAGGGAGGTGAGTACAACTCCACTGGCTCTACCAAGACTATGGTGAACTGAGTAGCAATGCTCCAAGAGCCATCTTAACATATAAAAGGTAGAAACCCAATGACCAGTTTCATCCTGCTTCAAATTCTTCCATGGAAGCTGGTGATCATTTTGGAACTCTTGTAGTATCTGACGGGCCTTGACTGAGTGACTAAAATGGTGACAGGTTTTCCTAGCGGCCACTAACATATTCTCGATGCTTTTGTGCTCACAGAAAAAGTCCTGAATGACAATATTTAAACACTGCAGGAAGCATGGCACATGGGTAAAACCACCATCTTTGATTGCATGCACCACATTAGAGGAATTGTCAGAAACAATGAAGCTAGGGATAAGGAAATTAGGAGAAAGCCACAGACCAATTTGGTCATTTAATTCTTGCAAAATGTTGGTTATCAAACAATCTTTGGCCAAACCTGTAACACAAAGCACTGCCCACTTTCTAAAATCAGGGATCCTGCCATTACTGGGAGAAGATGCAGTTTCCAAAGACACCCAGTGTACAGTCACAATGAAATAGTCAGTGGATGGGTCATGGGTCCATATGTCAACAGTCAAGTGGATCTTTTGGCTTTGAACATTCTCTAAAGTTAAGAAAATTTTTTCTCTGACACAATCATATAACTGAGGTACAGCCTTAGTAAAAAAGTAAGTCTCTGACGGCAATCTATAGTCAGGAGCCACAATCTGCAGGAATCTCTGAAAAGCTGGGGTTGAGAAGTAGTTGTAAGGATGCATATCCTCTACAATCATTTGAATAATTGCCCGACTTATTTGATTAGAGGCTGAGTTTTCACAAAATGTTGTCTCTCTCTCTTGTGCATGCATCTGATCGTCTTGCTCTGTAGCAGGAATAGGACTTTCAGATCTATTTTCAACCTCTAACACAGGAGGTTCATCTGAATCAGAGTCACTGAGGTCCTCAGCTGTTAAATCTTGGCTGCCTGTAGACTTTTCTCCATGTAAAGTATCATTCAAGAGATCACTATTCTCAGTCTCAGTCTCATCTATTCCATTTCCAATAGCACCACTGTCTTTGTTGGCAACAGCCCAATGGATGGGATGTGTGGCCTGCAGGTGTCGTTGAAGTGTTGAAGTTCCCAAGTGGGAACCTGGCCTACCCCGGCTCACACTTCTTTTACAAATATTACACACAGCTCTTGAGATGTGCTGAGGATCAGTGTAAAAAAAATTCCAAACTGCAGATGTCTTGGCTCTGGTTCCAGGTACTAAGGCATGCTTTACAATGTTACTTTTGATGAGAAATCTCCCTCTTTCTGCCCTCAGGGCATCAGATGCTGATTTATCACATTTCTTACCCATTCTATTATCATCTAACGAATCTGTAGGAATATATTCAAAGCTTCCACTGCTTCCAGGGGAAGGGGGAGATAAAGATACATCCAAAGTAAAATCCTCCTCCCCACTTGTGACTCCAAACTTGTTGGCCCTGGTCCAGTGAGGTGAATGCCTTGCCTGCAGATGTCTCTGAAGAGTAGACGTACCAAGATGGCTGCCTGGTTTACCCCTGCTGACACTTTTTTCGCACAGATTACAAATAGCCCGCCATGTGTACTGGGGGTCAACATGAAAGAAGTGCCACACGATGGAGGTCTTGGCTCTGGTACTAGGTAGATAGATCTGTTTTTCTATATTGCCATCAAAAAGACTTTCTTCATCCTGCTCAGGGGCACTGGAGGCTAACAAAGCAGAGGCATCTGCAACAGGCCTCTCAGATCCTAAATCCTTACTAAACTTTTTGGCAAGGATCAATTTTTTTCGGCGTCTTTTCCCCTTAATCCGCAAACCCTTCTTTCTTTTCTTTTTAGCAGGCAATTTTGCCTCTTTATCCACTCCTTCTGCCACCATCTTTCCCTCTACCACATCCTCTTCATCTGAATTAGAATTAATGGAAACGCATCCCAGAATTCCAGCACCACTAAAAGTGCTGCATCTTCTGTCAGGAGAGAGTGGAGAAACTGGTACACTTAAAGTACATACACTCATTCTCCTTTTGGTTCCAAAATTCGTACCAGAATCTGTTAACGGGTTTATTACTGAAGTACAAATACAGCTATTACTTTCTATTTGTATTACCTTTTTTCCAATTTCTATGGGGAGTCAAATTCCCTTCGGACCAATGACTTTGAAGCCAGATTATTTTTGGAAGAAAAATAACAGCAGTGGAGAACATTCCCAAATTCTTTGTGAGGGGGCATTGAGATCCCTTCCAACTTTCTAAATTCTAAATTCGAACAGTCCAGCATCCTCACGTTACTGAAAAATGAACTGAGGCCCACTTTCCCACAGTCATAGAGTTGAGTTGGTCAGTAGTAGCTGAAGCCAGAGGTTTCAAATCTCAGGTTCACGTTCTTTCTGCTTCATCAAGATTTGCACCTGCTTGAAATGCCTTCAGTTCTTAAAATATGTATTTTTATGATGCCTCATAATAGTAACATCGATTAAAATAACTGTCTTAATTCTGAAATTATTTTCAGGAAATTTCACTTAAACAAAAACATTGTGCACCACTCAACATTCATCACTGATTTTACAATACAACCCAAAAAGTCAATTCTGGAAAGCTAAATCAGACTCCACATACTGGTCATTAAATGCTAGTTGAGCCCTTTCAATTCTGACTAAAAGCACTTTTTTTTAATGTAAGTAGCTGAAAAAAATTCTTTGGGAATAAAATTTTAAAACAAGATAACAAGCAACATTTTCAATTTACCGTTTCTATTAAAAGTTAACATTTTTATACTGAAGTTTTACGGCTGTCAACTCACAAGTTGACCCCTATACGAATAGCAAAAACTGAAGTAAGAACTTTAAACCACTTCCATTTCTTTTACATTGATCCCTCCCCTCTCCTCCATACCTACACACATTTACCCTACAAAGCATCGCTATTACTAGTTCCACAGCCTCCTTCTCAAGGTCCAGAACCAAGGCCTGGAAGATGTCAACAATATGGACCTTCCCCATGGGAATCCGCACCGATTATGGGAGTTTAGGGGGTGCTCTTCGTTACGGGTTCATCAATCCTACAAGGAGAACGGAAGGGTCCCTGTAGCTCTTGATTCCGAAGAGGAGGGCGGGGGCAGGGTGGGGAACGGGTACGGGATAGCTGGGTAAGGTCAGTGGCTTCGTACGTGCAGTTTGAGAAATCTCCGAAACAGGAGGATCCTAGAGGGCAATGAGCAGGTAAACTCGGCTCCTGGGACTCGGACTACTAAGGCAGTGGGGGTCAGCTAAATTACAGACGCTGTCGCCGCGTAGAGAGCCATCTAGTGTCACCTGCCTCTCTGCGGCCGAAGAACGGTTGACTTCCAGGGGCGCTCGGCTCCGCGTTTCCCGAGCGCCGGAAGTGGGGGAGGGGAAGGCCGGTCGGGAAGGAGCAGGCGCCGTGGGGGTGGGGCGCAGCGAGTGGGGGTGGGGCGGATAGGAAAAGTGAGCGGCAGCCGGGCTCCCAGCTCACCCCCGCGAGGGCCGCGGCCGGGAGGCGGGGGGTCGTTACCGCGGGGCTCAAAGACCCCGCTCTGGCTTCCCAGGCTAGGCCGCGACCCGGGGGCGAGGGAAGGCCTCTGCCACTCCCCTCGCCCTTTCCCCCACCCCCCTGGCCCCAAGCCACCCGGCAATCAAAAAACGGGTCTAGTTACCAGAGAACAGAAACTTTACCGAACCGATGACACTATCTCTGATTCCCGCCTGCTGCCACGTCTTTCTTCTCTCTTAGCTGTTGCCGTCCACCCTCCTCACAGCAGCAAAAATCTAAAACTGCCAGCGTCAAAGATGGCGCCCGGCTACAGGCTCAAATCTAAAACCCGGCCAGTAATAGTGCCAGCACGACGCAGAACGCGGGAATTCTGGGAGGTGTAGTTTTCTCTATGAGGCAATACCTAAAATGGCTTCCCGCGTCATAGGGTCACGTGGGAGGCGAGGCGCTCGGCGATTGGGTCTCTTGCTTGGCAACGATTGTGGTTTCCGCAAGTTCCGTGGCTGTCCACATCATCTTTGATAAAGTTTTGTTTTTTTTTTAAATCAAACCAGTTGAGCGAGAAGACTGCAAGAACTGTCTACCAGGCAGTAAGAGTTCAGTTTACTGTTACCAAACGTTTTCGTCTAAGCCGTGTATAAATTTAATTAAGAAATAAACTATTTTCCCTTGCAATGTTGAAGGATTTTAACGATTTTCTTTCTTTCTTTCTTTGTTATTTATTTATTTAGAGACAGGGGCTCCCTATAGAGTTCAGGCTGGCCTTGAACTGACTTTAGCCTAGGTTGCCCTTGAATTCGAGATCCTCCTGCCACAGCTTCCTAAGTGCTGGGATTACAGGCATGCGTCACCACCTATTATTTTTATTTGAAGTTAAATTGGGCTTTGGGGAAGTTTATTTCTTAAGACAAATTTTGGTGCTACAAAAGGAGGATCCAAGGTTCAAGCTCAGTCTGGGCAATTTAGTGTCTTAGTGAAACTCTTTACAGAGTCTCCATGTGGCTCAATGCAAAGGTCCTCAGTTCAAGCCTCAGTATGAAAAGAAAAGAAAAGAAAAGAAAAGGTTATGCTCATTAAAAAGTTTATGAGGGGGTCGGGGATTTAGCTCAGTGGTTTCGCCACTTGCTGCGCAAGCGCGAGGACCCGAGTTCTATCTCCGGTACCAAAAAAAAAAAAAAGAAAAGTTTATGAGGGTTGCAGGATGAAAAAGAAAAAAAGTTATTTCCCCATTTTTGTTATTAACATTATCCTGTATTTTCCCATTCCGATGTTTTTAACCATTAAAAACCCCACAAATATATAGAGTAGGAAATTAAATCTGTATTAATTTCATTTCTGAGAAATAATCTCAATAATTTAACATATAACCTTTTTTTCTTTGTAACTCTTTTTTGTCTTTCTTATACGTGTCCTCTCCACAGTGAAAAAGCACTTTTTTTTTTTTTTTTTTTTTTTAACATATATTTGGCTTAACAGCATGTATCCTACCTGTAGTACTACATGGCAAAAACAAAGAAGCGTTGGGCTGGGAAGTTAGCTCAGTGGTTCCAGCGCCTGCCTCCCAAGCGCAAGGTCCTGAGTTCGATCTCCGGTACCAAAAAAATAAATAAAATAAAAAATAAAGCAGTATTTATTTGCCCACTACCTTGAATATTCAGCATACTCTTTGATAGTATAATCATAAACTGAAAATTTTAGATGTAGCTTACAAATATATTTTTGCAATTAGTTTTGTTACCCTTCACGTAACAAGTTTAGACTTCATGCTTCTTACTAGTTTTAATGCTTAAAATTATACAATTGCTTCCCTACTATTTATGTAGTTATTTTAAATTTATGTTCTCTGTTGGCTGCAGTAAATCATTCAGCAAAAATTTTAGAGAAAGGGCCCAGTGTGGTGGCACACACCTGTAATCCCAGCACTCAGGAGGCTGAGGCAAGAGAACTTCGGTGAGTTGGAGGCCAGCCTGAACTACATAGTGAGACCCTGTCTCAAAAAAAACCACAAAAAAACCCCCATGGAATTAGTATGTTCAAAGCATACTATGGAGTATTTTGAGGGGGATTTGATACCAATGTCTTTTTTTTCTGAGCTTTTCTTTTGTTAACGTCATATTTTTTGTTTTTTGTTTTTGGTACCGGGGATCGAACTCCAGACCTTGTGCTTGCGAGGCAGGCGGCGGTACAACTGAGCTAAATCCCTGGTCCCCTTAACTTCATATTTTTAAGTAACTTTTTTTTTTTTGGTACCAGGCATCAAACTCGAGACCTTGCACTTGCAAGGCAGGTGCCGGAACCACTGAGCTAAATCCCCGGCTTAACTTCATATTTAGTAGTGTATTTTTCTCATTTATATTGATCATATTCATCATAGGGAATTTGTATCTGTACATAATATATCTTGGTTTTTCATTTTTTCCCTCTCCCCTCCCCTCCCTTCAACCCTTCTTCCCCTCCCTATTTACAAAAGCTTTGTTTTCATTTTTTCTCTTCTATGCTTTTTCCCCTTTTTCCCTCCTTCATTTCCCCCTCTGCCCTGCCACGTTCCCCTTCCCATTTGAACACGTTCTTCCTACTTCCCAGTATCTATCCTCCATTATGCTCCTTGTTTATCCTTTGGGTTTCTCACATAAAAGAAACAATGCGATATTTAAACTTGTGTGTTTGATTTATTTCACCTAAGATTATGGTGTCAAGGTGCATCCATTTTCCTGCAAATGACTCAAGTTTATCTTTCTTTATGGCAGAGTAGCACTCCATTATATATGAATACCACGTTTTTTTTTATCCATTCGTCTGTTGATTGGCATGGGGGCTGTTTCCAAGATTTAGCTATTATAAATTGTACTGCTATAAACATGGATATGCCCAGTGTTGTCGAGCATGTTTTCGTATATTTATTTGCTGTTTATACTTCATCTGAGTGCTTGGTTTGGCAGCACATATACTAAAATTGTACTTCTTCATCTGAGAAATATCTATTTATATGAGATGCCCATTTTTAGATGGGTCTTTAAATTTGAGGAGTCTGATTGTTTTTTAAATCTTTTTTTTTTTTTTGGTACCGGGGATTGAACTCAGGACCTTGCACTTGTGAGACAGGCGCGGTGCCACTGAGCTAAATCCCCAGTCCTTGAGTTCTTTATATATTCCAAATATTAGTCCTTTGAGGAGTGACTGGTAAAAAAATTTTTCATTCACATCACTCTGTTGGTGGTTTCCTTTGCTGTGCAAAAGCTTTTTTAATTTGATGTGATCCCAGTTGTTGATTCTTTGTAATATTTCCTGTGCAATTGGGGTTTTGTTCATAAAGTCTCCCTATACCTATGTTTTCAGGAGTTTTACCTACTCTCTCTTCCAGCAGATTAAGTGTTTCAGTTTTAAGTTTTAGATCTTCGATCCATTTCAATTTTAGTTAAGTGCATGTTGAGAGATATGGGTCTAGGTTCAATTTTTGGCATAGGGAAAGCCTGTTTTCCCAGCGCCATTTATTAAAGAGGCTATCTTTCTTCCAGTGAAGGTGTTTGGACCCTTTGTCAAAGATAAGGTAGCTGAGTGCACTTGGAGTTGTTTCTGCATTGATTATCAGTTGTTCCATTGATTATCAGGCCTGGTTTTTTTTCCAGTACCATGCTGTTTTTATCACAGTAGCTTGGTAGTATAACTTAAAATCTGTTCAATATACAACAGTTCTGGAAACATCAGCCAGAGCAGTCAGACAAGGGAAAGAAACAAAAGGAATATGGATAGGAAAGGAAGAAGTTAAAGTATCATTATTTGCTAATGACATGATACTCTACATAGAAGACTCCAGAAACTCTACCAAAAGACTCCTGGAATTAATAGCCAAATTTGGCAGTATAGCAAGATACAAAGTCAACACTTAAAAATCTGTAGCATTCCTGTACATGAATAACAAACCCACTGAGAGAAATTAGGGAAACAATACCTTTCACGATAGGATCAAGAAAAATGAAATACTTAGAAATCAATCTAGGAAAAAGGAAGTGAAAGACCTATACATTAAAAACTACAGTACTCTAGGGGCTGGGGATTTAGCTCAGTGGTTCCACCGCCACCTGCCTTGCAAGCTCAAGGACCCGAGTTCAATCCCCGGTACCAAACAAAACAAAACTACAGTACTCTGAAAAAGGAGATCAAAGATGATAACAAAAGCTATCCCCTGTTCTTGGATAGGCAGAACCAATGTAGTGAAAATGGCCATACTTCCAAAACTGTTGTACAGATTTACTGCAATCTGAATCAGAATTCCAATAGCATACCTCCCAGAGCTAGAGGAAACAATACTAAAATTCATTTGGAACCAGAAGAGACCTAGAATAGGAAAAGCAATTCTGGGCAACAAGGGCAAGGTGGGGCATCATAGTCCCCAAATTGAAGTTATACTACAAAGCAGTGTGTCTTTTACTATAATACAATTTTAAATTTAAACATTTACTGTGACTTGATTGCTCCTCGTTGATCAACCATTTATGGCAGTTTTTGTCAAACAAAAATATTATGTGTCCTCACCCGTCTTACTCACTGGATCTGGCACTGTACAACTTCTGACTCTTCCTCAAGATCAAAAGGTAAACATTTTAAATCAATTCAGTACACTGAGGCAGCCGTAACAGTGCAACTAAATACACTCATGCAAAAGGACTCTCAGAACTGCTTCACAAAGTCACAAGAACAACAGGATAAGTCTGTTTGAAGCAAGGGGGAGTATTTTGAGAGGGATTAATGGCAGTGCTTCTTTTACTGTAATAAATTTTTTAAAAATGTTAAATGTATGTCATAGTTTTCTATCACATTTGTACATAATTACAAAATCAAAGAAATATTTTTTACCAATAAACTAACATGCCACTACAATCTTTTGTGTGTGTATGTGTGTGGTACTGAGCAGGAGCACTAAGATATATGCCCAGTATTTTTATTTTTTAGTTTGATACAAGGTCTCACTAAGTTGCCCAGGCTGGCTTTGAATTTGTAATCCTCCTGAGTAGCTGGGATTATAGGTGTGCACCACCACACGTGGCTATAATACCTTTTTTATATATATGTGACTGCATACTCTTTGATCACTTCATATGACAATAATTTTTCATATTTTCTGTAAAAAGAGTGAAAAAGATAAACCAGTCTTTCCAGTAGCATCCTTAATAAAAATAATTTTGGAGGGCCAGGGATTTAGCTCAGTGGTTTAACCACCTGCTTTGCAAGTGCAAGTTCCCAAGCTTGACCCCCAGTACAAAAAAAAAAGAGGCTAGGGATGTAGCTCAGTGGTAGAGCACTTAGATTCAACCCTAGGACCAAAATAATAATAATAATAATAATAATAATAATAATAATAATAATTTT